TTTAGGTGCAAGTTATTTAGATTTCTATTGTAGAAAGAATACTTGAAATAATGTATAGAAATATTATTTTGAACCATAAAAATTCTCAATAGTAAAATTTAAAGTACTGAAAAGGTAGCTATTGTTTTTGACAGTAGATTATATAATATAAAAATACCTCATGCTGAGCATTTTCTGAAATTACAATGCTAAATGAAATTGATATAGTGCAGTATTTAGCAATAATAACTTTTTGTAAACAAACGTGGCTATATTCGCTTAATTGTAATGACAGTAATTTTAACTGCATTTGTATAAGGCTGTACAGAAGATTTATTTATATGGGTTTTCATCCGCAGAGAACAACCGGATTCCCTGTGGAAGTAAGTGATTCCGAAAATAATGTTTAAATATTACTCTAACTATATTTGAAAGCAATGCTATAACAGTGCCCTTATAAGACTCATGATCCGAAAAGCTTTGGTTTTAAATGTCTCGTAAAAACTTTCAATTACTTCTGCAAAATTCATACCCACGTAAAAATTACTACACCGAAGTCAATTGATTATACAGCAAAACGTTCCTAAAACAATCAACTCCACAATTCGAGATAATGCGAGTTTCCTGTAGCCTGACAAAACTATGAATGATTTTTTAAGTCCTGTTATTTAATTATTGTCCTGACAATGTGCCATTATCAGAGGTGGTCATTTAAGAAAATAACCACTATATGAGGTTTCAACTAAATGTAATTTTTTTCAAATAAATAATTCACTTTTTATACTCCCAAGACTAGTACATTTAATATTACATAAATCTTATTCACAAATCTATTTCTATTTCAAAAGCAATTTATGAAAAAACACATTTGAAATTTTCTTCATCAAACTAATAATAATGAAAATTAAAGTATGCATAAAAATGATTATATGTGTTTTAACAAAAATAGCACAAAATATTTAATGTAAAAAATGTGGTTCTAGTCTCATACTTGTAAAGAAAAATAGACCAAAAAGAAAAAACAATGTAAGCTACTATGATCATCTAAATTTTCACATAATTTTAGTAGTGGAAAAAAGATTCCTTAAGCTTGTATGTCTTGTCTACCCCATTCAATAAGTAATAAACACATTAAATACTTCAATGTTTATTTCATTAATAAAACTTACCTTTTTTAATCGCGAAATATAATTAGTACATTTTTTAAAACATAAAAAACATTTTTTTTTGCTCGGCCACATCACATTAGTCGAAAAATTGAAAATTGAATCATGCAAGATCATTTTTAAGTAAGGTATGCTCAAATTTATTAGTACATAATATTCAAATGATAAAGCATCTACATGAACAAGCTTTAAAAAAGTATTTCTAAACTGTAATCAAAAAAATAAATTTTCCAAAATACAGTTTCAGTAGAATGCAAAAACTACATTTCTGCATCTGCACACTGAAACAAATTATCAAGCCTGAAATTATCACTTTTCAGTCTTTAAGCACATTGTTTTTCAGGATAAAAGTAAAGATGGAAAATCAATTTCACGCTCAGAAACTCCATTTCACAACTAGTCAGTTATCAGCAACGTTCTCTCAAACATTAGACACGATTACACGTGCATGGCTTTAGTGGTATATTCATAGTCAGTGCTGGTATTTTATTATTTATTACTAATTTCTAAACAGTAAAACATAGTAAAATTTGTAATACAGTAAATCCTAGTAAATAATATATTGCATTACTACAACCACGAAGAAAATAACACCACCATCACACAACAATAAACTAGAGCGGCGCCATATTGCTTGTTTGGGAAACTTCTGAGAATGGGAGAGGGAGGGGGAATTTTTTTCTTCACGTCAGCGTTAACAAGGAGGAAAGTTTTGCGATTGTGAATGAACTTGTTCGCGTTAAAAAGATGTTGGTTGATACCGGTGTTTATTTGTAATATCAGAAATGTAAGTGCTTATGTGTGTGTATTCAGAGAACCAACTCGTAGCAAAAACCACCTCCCTAAGACGACCGCCTCTGAAAGAAACCAGTATTTCTGAAAACATAAGTATACTTTGGTATTGAATATTCCCTCTATAAGGCGACCATTCACAAAGAAAATTCTGCAAGTGTGTCTGGTCGCCTTAGAGAGATTCATTCCGTAGATGCAATCTCCCTAAGACGAACACCTCTAAAAGATAAACGTATCTCTGAGAACGTGAGTATCTATTGGTATTGAGCATCACCTCTCTAAGGCGACCACTTGCAAAGATGAATTTTTATTTGCGGCTGGTCGCCTTGGAGAGACCTCGTTGTGTGTGGTGTATATGATTACTGTTATTGTTTCCGAAAAAAAAATTTAAATAAAAAAAAATAGCATATTTAGTAAAAACCCTCTCTAAAACGACCACCTGCGTTTACAGGTTACTCTGGTGGTCTTAAAGAGATCATATTTTCATTCTGTTAATTTTATTGTTTACAAGAAGTATATTAACGTCAGATAAAAAAATAGCACAAACCCATATAAACCAACAGAAGATTTATTATTATATTGATACCAGTAAGAAAACCAGCAAAAGTCAATATAAACCTATACAAACCAGTACAAAGTTCTGCCATTGAATGTTGGTTGTATGGGTGTCAATTGATACCAGTAAGAAAAACCCACAGAGATCAATAGAAACCAGTAAAAGTCAATAGAGACCATCAAAAATTCTATAGGTACCAGTAGAAAGTTTTACTGGTTTCTATGGGTCATTTTGAAACCAGTAAAAAAAAACCCACAGAGGCCAACAGAAACCAGTAAAAGTCAATAAAAACCCATAAAATCTTATGGGTACCATAAAAAGTTTTACTGGTTTCTATGGGGCATTTTTAGTACGGATGTCATTCGATTCTACGACTCAACGTATGCTAAACTACCAAGTTTTGTAAAAATCGCACAAGTAGTTTTTTAAAAATTAGCTCTCAAAATTTTAGCTCCTCAATGTTAATAGAATTTCATATATATTTTTTAATATCTGTTTTTTTATTAAACTTACTTGATTTCCTCATCCAGAATTCGAAATTATAGGCTTAATCCAAATATAATTCCCATATTTTTATTGATTTATTTTAAAAATCTGTATTTTAAATATTTTTTATAAATTTTTCTAAAAATATTTTGAATTATAACCTATAAAATTTTTAACATCATCTTAAAGTAGGTGTATTTCTAAGCATATTTGCAAAAAATTAGGGTATTTTATTCAAAATTTCCTATGATATACGTGAATTTACATTTTGGCGCGTTTTGAAATTTGGCGTATTTAATATAAGCGATAATAACGAAAATGTGGTTTACGCCCTTTATTAAACTTTTTTTCCTCTCGTGCATCAATGAAAAATAAGGTAAGTAAATAGGTTACTATAAATTAAGAGTTTCGCCAATTGAATTATTCTTGACGCAAACTGGAAAAAAAATCCGACAAGATAAATTTTTAAATTTCTCCTTAAATTTCTCACCAAAAATTCAAAAAATTAATATCTGTGTCTAATTTGAGTCGCAGAATCGAAATATGGAAAAAAAATTGGTATGTTATTTCAGAAAAAGTCCGACTTTGTATAAAGATACCTCTGTTAGAATAATTGGCTATGTATAAATCTAATACATATCCTAAGTCGTGCTTTCAAGATATGAAAAACGCAATTTGAATTTCGTCAATCGGCGCAGTAAAAAGGGAGATACAGAACTGCCCCCTTTTTTTTTTTCTTTTTTTCCGCAGTGTACATTGATGGCAGATATTTTAGACCAAATAGCACGATTTTGTAAATTTATTCACGAAATGATAAGCAGTCTTAGGAAACACATATAGCGTTAATTTAAGAATTTGAAATTCTAAGAGAAAGAATTCCTTGTGCAGTTTTGATTTTTTTTTTCCCCAAATTTACCAGAAACGTCGAGGTTGTTGTGTTGTGATCTCATCTTTGTGCAATTGGTAAGCGACTTCCGGGCTTCTGCATTTTGGATTTTCCAAGGATGATTTTCGCTCTCATTGTGAGTGGATCCACCCTCTTGGTGACATTGCTGTTCCTATACAGACTTTTGTTCCCCAAGGACAAGAAAGACCACGAAGGATACAAAGAAAGATGGTACGGCAAGGATTCGCTGCCTAGTGATGGTACGTAACGAATCTTATTTATCTTTTATTTAGTTTCCCTGTAATAAGGAAGATTTCTTAATGTTTTATATCAGGTATTGCCAACTTTTTCTTGCATCAATTCCTATTAAAACATACTTTTCTTCATCGATTACCGTTCTTTTCTCTCTATCATATTCAGCTTCACTATAATAATAATACACATGATTTCATATAAATATCTTAAGGTAATAAATAGATTAAAAATATGAGTGAAAGTTTTGAAGAAAAAGGTTTATTAGATTTAAGTTTTATTATTAGCCCAAAATGGCCTATTAGTCTCGAAATGGGATTTTGCGTTGGTTCACTGTAATAAACGGTGTAAGAAGAGAAATTAATAATGGAGAATTTGCATGAATGTATGTTTATCTCTCGCATTATGAAAACACGAAGGCACCTAGAGCCATCATATTTTGAATAATGTAGTCCTCCATCCGAACACGAGCATATGGAAGCTGTTTTAAATTTCGGATTTGTTTTATTATTTTATGTTTTGTAAAACTCTAATGAATTTTTGATTAACAAACTTAAGAGATTTCAAAATGAGCAGTGGCAATACTGTACGAAAAAAAAAAAAAAAAAAAAAATTTATCTCCAGCAGGTGAGATTGTCTACCGGAAATTCTAAAAGATATGCTGTTTTTAAATAATTTGCGATTTTGCTGTTGAACTGAATTTTATATGCAATATTCTCGAAGAACGTTATATTTAATAAATAAAGTAAACGCACACAACGTTAATAATAAGACAGAAAAAAGTTTTGAAAAGCCATTTAAGTAAACAAACTGAATATTGATATACTGAAAAATATATGTCAACACTTAACGCTACACTGGGAGTTCTAAACGTCCATCAGTCATGAATGGAATGGAAAGCAATTGCCTGCCTACCAAGACAGGCAAATGCTTTTCAGTCAATTTATACAGGATGGACTGCCTCTGCACCGGTCCTGCCAACAACTGCTGCGATTGACATATGACGATGTCCATGTCCTCAGTCGTTTCTTCTGCACGAATGGTCACCGAAGTCTGCAGACCTTACATGTTGTGACTTTTGGTTTTAGAACTGCCTGAAGTTTCACGTGCACAAAGATTGACCGATATTATTGGTCGCATTTAAAGAAGCTATTCGCCAACATAGCTGAAACCTTTTTGAAGCTGCGTAGAGTGTCATGCCTCGTCTGACGGCCATTTTTTTTGTGAATGACGGCTGCCATTTTGAACATTTGCGAAAATATTCAGAAAATTCTTCACTTACATACAGAATTAAATATTTTAATTTAAAAATCCCTTTTAAAAAGTAGACACATATTCATTAAAGACAAAAAATAATTTGAGATCATTGGAATGTATCTCATTTGATAGCTTTTATTTTCTTATGTCTTCGTTCAAGTAATTGAAGACTATTGTAACTTGAATGATAATTAATCCACGACTACTGCAATTGTAATGTTTCTGGATTTATTAAAAATCCAGCAGTCGTCGAATTTCAATACGGCAGGGGTATAAAAAGTAATTTTCAACAACAAAGTAGGGCTAATCTTAAATTTTATTTGTTGTAACGCTAATGTTGTATTAGAAAACATGTAAGTTTATTGCCTAAAAAATTTATATCAGATTTTAAACTTATGAAAGCTTTTGTAACACATATGTCATATGCGGACTACATTAATGCATGTTATTTAGTTAAATAATAATTTGAAACAATATTAATTCATGGGGAATATTAATTTCAGGCTCTTTTTTGGGGGCCAATGACCGGTGAACAGGTTTACCCATATTAGGCTCACTAGCAAAAACAGTTAAGATATCTATTTCTTTGTAATCCATCTGACGTAAATATGCACAATAATTCAGGAATTGACTAAAACATAAAGGGAATACAAGTGTTTGTAGCTCTGGCTTAGCAAATCCTATTTAGAATCATAAACTTTTGTTTAACTATTTACTCCGCCAAAGCCAAATTATTCCTATTTATATCAGCAACAGACACTATTTTAGTGAAATATTGTTTGATGACACATCGGATTACCACCATATCTTCTTGTCCAGATGGATCAAAATTCCTTCACAATGAAATGTTTTTTACAATCTCTTGATGTCAGTGAGTCCACAATATAAAAATAAGTCCACAACCATAGTAAGTTTTCAATAGCAGATTTATATTATAATTATACCTTTTTATTATGGAATGTCCAGATAGATCAGTTAGCATAGCTTTAAGTGTTCTTAACTTTTCTCATATTTAACTCTTTATGCATAGCACTGTAGAATGAGAACGCGAAATGAAAAGAGAAATGGATAACAGAGTAAAACTGAAAGGCAAAATATGAGTAAATTTGAGAAACCTTAATATAATAGTATCACAAAAATCAATAGGAAACTTTACTCACTTTCTTAGCTCCCATAAAATATAGTAATAAAAAACAATAAATAAACACAGTTTTTTTGCTTCTAGCGCACCTTCAATTACATTAAAACCTTTTGATCAGTCATGCACATGTAAAAATTTTGAAGTTTAACATACGCCTTAGTTTTCCTGTGAATTTGCAGAACAGATACTGTATTCGCTTCATTTAGGAAAACTTAAACAAATTTTTATCGTTACAGAAGCTAAAAGGTATCTGGAAGACACATCTATTCGTCCATTTAAGATTCAAGTCTCAAATGACGTGCTGAATGATCTGAAGATGAGATTAGAGCGTACTCGATTCGAAGACCCTCTGGAAGAATCCATGTTTTTAGATGGCTTCAATCCCAATTATCTTCGAGAAGTAGTAGAATATTGGAAAAGCAAATACAATTGGGAGAAAGAAGAAGAAAAACTGAACAAATTTCAGCATTTCAAGACACGCATCGAAGGACTTGACATCCATTTCATGCACGTGAAACCCACTAAAGAAGAAGAAAAGAAGGTAAATTCGTATTTGCGAACTGGTCTCAAACGATATGGTTACGATACAGCCGTATAGGCTGTCCATCATAAGTATCACAGAAAATTACCGTAGACATCCATACTGTAAGCATACATTATGAAAAGCTTCGAGAATTTAGGCTAGGACATACGCAGTCAAAGGTAACTTCCTGCGACATTCTTTCCCATATCATCTATATCTGCTTCTGGTGCAGAGTTTACACTTCCATTGCATATTGGATATATTTCCAATAAAAGTATTGTTTTCCAGCAAAATATTCAAAAATTGGCAACGATTCCTTTTCCTCTATTATGATGGCCAATATTAGAATTCTTTGAACTTTTTATGTCACTGACGTTACACTTCTAATATTTCCTCAATGCTTGTCGTTTCCTATCCAAGTGCTTCTACTTTAGCAGTTAATGATAGTTATGCCAAGGTCAGTTTAGAACTGCAATGTTTTCTACTTGCTTTTCTCCCACGATTGTTTTGTTCGACGTTATTATCGCCTTGCATTTTTTTTTTTTTTTTTTTTTTTTTTCCGTCAGCGATGTTTTCAGCTGGCACCAGGTCAGTAGCTCTTCTCAAGATTCGAGTTCATTGACGTCATTTCACTTACTGACGTGGGAGAAATTAAGACACAATTATATTATAATTTCTCAAGACAGTATTTGCTTTGGATCAGATTGTGAGCGATGTGGCTTTTGAGGGTGTGAGTAGTGACATCACACCTCAAAGATTTCTGGACCTTAAGAACAAACCTTGTAGTATAGTGAATTTGGATTGATTATCGTACATCATGTAAACTTTGATCACTGCATCAGTCTTGCATGTAATAAAAATATTACTCGCGAGTAATTGAAAAACATAATACCAAAATTACTCGCGAGTAATTGAAAAACATAATACCAAAATAGGTAACAACTCATTTCTCGCCTTTTTGGCGATAAAGGTAGACCTCACATGAGGTAAAACGTCTTGAAATCTGCAACTTGCAGTAAGAATGAAAGATTAACTTAAGTTTGCAAAGTAACATAAAATTTTACTTATCTTTGTGATATTCGGACATTCTTTTCTCTGCCCAGTCCTGGAAGGTAGCGAAGATTCGTGTTTGATTTATCCTCCTTCTTGTGCGGGCTCGCCCTTCAGTGTCTTCCTCTAGGAGCTTTCTTTTCCCTCCAGTTCGGTCACCCTTGAATACCTTCTTTTTCGCCTCTGCCTGTGGTCTTGGCCGTTTGATGGCCGCTGGTCTTGGCGGAACCGGGACACTTCTCTCTCGTTCCTGCTTGGATCTCGTTGTTGGCTGTTCAAATTTTCCTTGTATCTTTTCCTCCGCCGGTGGTGGTCCTTCCGCAATTCGGCGACATTTGCTGCGTAGAGTCCTGTCCGATGAGTAGATCTTCCGTTTGGGAGCCGGGTTATAGTTGCCGTTATTTCTCCTGGCTCTCTTTGCATTCGTCGTACTTCTCCCTTCTTCATTCTGGGGGTGGTCGTGCGCTCTCTTTTGTGGTCGGTGGAACGGCTTCTTTTTCTTGTTACCTTCAATTTTCCAACGGGGAAACTTTCTTTTCAATTGCTCCTGCCTCCTAATGGCTTGTCCTTGTGCTTGTCGTTGTTCCACCTCTGGAGCTTGTGCCTGCAGTGCCTGCCGTGCCGGATCCTGCAAAAGATCTTTAAATATTTACATTTTATTACGGTCATAGTAGGGTTTTATCTGGTCAATGTTTGCGGAGCATGTTTCACCATTCCTGGCTTTTAACACCACTACAGAGTGGGATATTTTTTCTACGACATATGGGCCTTCAAATCGTGGAAAAAATTTGGCGGTTTTATCTTCTGGTGCTGAAGAAAGTGAATGCTTAATTTTTAATACTTCATCTCCTACTTTATAAGTTACTCCCCGTCGTTTCATATCATAATAGAGCTTCTGTTTTCTTTGTGCTACTTCAGTGTTCTTTTTTGCTTCTTTAATTAATTTTTCTATATCACCCATTTTAAATTCTGGGGCTCTTTGTTGAACATAAAATAATTTATCTAACGGCGTTATAATCTTTCTGCCTAAAAATACCTCAGCAGGAGTTTTGCCCGTTGTATCATGTTTTGCGGTCCTAAGGGCGAAAGCAAATTCATTGACATAGTTATCCCAGCTTTTATGAAAATTTTTAACATAACTACGGATAATTTTCACTATATTTCTATTGACCCGTTACGCTATATTTGATTGCGGCCGATACGGGACCATTTTTAAATGACGTATGCCCAGTTTTTGGGACATGTCTTCAATATATTACTTACAAATTGAGGACCATTATCCGATATAACTTTTAGGGGCGCCCCGTATTTTAAAATATATTTATTTAAAATAGAATCAGTAACTAATTTCGCGGAGGCTCGTTTTAAGGGAACAATTTCGGTCCACTTACTAAAATGATCAACCATAACAAGGAGATAGCGACTTTTATTTAAGTGACTTTTTGGGAAAGGGCCCAATAAATCGACGCCAATTATTTCATTTGGAAAATCGGATTTAATACTATTTATAAACCCGGCCGGGCGGAAATTAATATAATTAACTGCTTGACATGTTGGGCAGGACTGGACATACGCCCTTGTTAACTTTTGCAGTTCAGGAAAATAGACTGCCTCGCGTACGCGTTGGATAGTTTTTCGAATACCAGCATGAGAAGCTAAAGGGCTGTCATGGAGCTCCTGCAGGATATTTAATCTAAGACTAGCTGGGATAACAGGTCGAAATTCGTTGTTGGAATTTGTAGTTTTTGTATAAAATAATAGACCATCTATTAGTTCGTAATGGGCTGCCCTATTTCTTATCGCCACAATATCTTGGTGGCTAAAATTTTCAGGATCCTTTAAATACTTATAAATGTTTCTAAACTCAGGATCCTTACTCAGTTCGGTTATTACAGTTTCTCGGGAATTTATTGTACATGCTGTGAGCATTGCCACCTTTACAGTATTACCTTCTTCATCTATTTTTATTCTGAATAGGGCATCTGCTACGATATTTTCCTTTCCGGGGGAATGCTTGATTACCAGATTATATTCTTGTAGCTTGAGTGCCCATCTTATTAACCTTGGAGATAAGTTTTTCCCTGAGTACAATATAGTTACCGCCGCATGATCAGAATACACTGTTATTGGCGCTCTTCCAAAATAGACTTTTGCACTGCTAACAGAACTCCAAGTGCCTCTCTCTCAGTCGCGGAATAATTTCTTTGTGTTTGATTTAAAGTTCGACTAAAAAATGCACGGGCTGCTGATTTTGCGAAAGTACCGCTCCTACCGCATAATCCGAAGCATCCGCTGAAATTTCTAAATTCTCATCCTTTTCAGGAAATGTCAACACAGGGGCTTGCGTTAATGCTTGCTTTAATTTTTCGAAAGCACTATTGGCTTCGGCCGTCCACGAGAATCTTGCCTTTTTCCTTTTAATTTTAACAACGGTTCAGCAATAGCTGCAAAATCTTTTATAAAGGACCTATAATATGAACAAAGTCCTAGAAAAGAAGAGAGCTTCTTCGCCGTATTTGGCGGCGGATACTTTTGCACAGCGATTATTTTTGATTCGTCTGTCTCGATTCCTTTCTGAGATATTTTGTAACCTAAGTATTTTAATTCAGGGCCTGCAAATTTGCACTTTTCGACATTAACTTTTAGACTGGCCTAATTTATTAATGAAAACACCTGTCTTAAATCCTGTACATGTTGGTCCAGATTATCACTAGTAATAATGATATCGTCTAAATAGATAAATGTGGACTTTCCAAGAACAGGCCTTAGCACAATGTCCATACATCGCTGAAATGTTGCCGGTGCCCCTGAAAGGCCAAACGGCATACGCAGGAATGCTTAAGTGCCAGACTTCGTTATAAAAGCAGTCTTAGGCACGTCCTCCGGTCTAACCCCTATTTGAAAATAACCAGTCGTTAAGTCTAAAGTCGTCATGTATTTGGTAGACGTTATGTTCCTTAGAATTTCTTCAATAATAGGTAACGGATAAACCGGATATTTAGTTATGGAGTTTAATTTACGATAGTCAATCGCGAAAAGCCACCTTTTGGATGTGTTAATGGATAGTCATTGTTTTTCTTACATAAAACCACCGGGCTAGCATAACTACTTGAGATGGGCGTTATGATCTTTTTCCGTAACATATCTCTAATGTGCCATTCTATAATTTTTTCTTTATTCTTATCATACCGGTATGCTTTGTGACGAACTGGCATTGAATCTCCGGTGTCAATACTATGGTTAGTAACTTGAGTAATTCCTGGAATATCACTAAATAACGAAGCAAATTCACTTACCACTTGTCGGATTCTTTGTTGCTCTTCCTTAGACAGGTGGTCAAGGTTTAACATTGGCGGTTCAGCCTTTTCTGCACAAACTGGTTTCATCGTCAGCTTAAGGGACGCTTCATTAAAATCCAGCGTTGCTTCTGCCTCTGAAAGAAAATCTATACCTAAGATATATGTGCTTGCAGATTTCTTTACTATAAAAAACATAATTTGTACTTGTTCGTCCTTGATACGAACGTATAGCGGTAATTTACCTATGCACTTACATCTTTCTCCCTGCGCAGCTAACACGGTCGTATTATCCGAATTATATATGCGGTATTTCCGAAAATACTTCCTAAAAAAATCTTCTGCCACACAGGAACACTGTGCGCCTATATCCAGGAGTGTGGTGGCTGGGATGTTATTCACCAACACTTCAATCTTAGGAAGAGTCAAATTTTTCACCATTACTGTATTTAACTTGAAGGAAGAGGGGTTTTCTTGGCCTTCGGATTTCCGCACCCTCCCGTCAGCAGAAATCCGTTTTAGTTTAAATCTTTTTTTCTTTCCATGCTTTCCTTCTTTTTCCACTGGCCTTGAGACTTTTTCCTGGATTGCTATTGAACTGTCGACGTTCGCCGGCTGTTTTTGGATGCTCGGGTTTCCTTGCCCACTGATTCGCTTTGCTTCCGTAACCGT